AGCACTTTTCAGCCACCTGCGAGTGGGGGAGCTGAATCTTCCTCATCCTCGGCACCAAAAGCGCTGCAAATGACCAATGTGTCACAAAAAGATGGTGAAAAAGGTATTCTGGATGAAGTAGAAGCTGATGAGCAAAAGAATTCGGTGGCTGCATCCACTAGTACTCAGCTTCACAATCCGGAGGAGCCGATTGAAAATTGGATGGCTCGCAACGCACACCTGTGGGTGTATACCCCTCATGTAAGTGAGGTGATGATTACGCTTGGTGTGACCAATGTGTCGGACTTGCAAGAGTTCATCTTTGTGGAAGATTTGGTTGACAAAGGGATCAACAAAGTGACCGCATGCAAAATTCTGCAATTGGTGGGTGAGGTCCGATATCGACCGGGAGGACCGGAAAAGGCAGTTCCTTCTGATGCATCTGTACGGGTACAACAATCTTCTGGGAACAAAGGGACTGGAAGAGCGGCGGTGCGAACCCTCACTCAGGTGCGTGAAGCTGAAGACTCCGGTGCAAAAACTATGCCGAGAGGTTCCTATCGGGAGCTTTTTGATAAGGTCAGGTACCGTGATGGTTGGACGCTTGCGCAGAGGTCTCCGTTGTGCGTACAGAAGCTGCGGTTGGTGGGAGTTGGAATGCCGCCGGTGAATCCACCAACGAAAAAGTATCGGTCAAGATCAAACCCTGTAAGAAGGGGAAGGCCCTTGCTGGACAAAAAACAGGTGCGACAGGTGCCACGATCTCGGTCACAACGACGAGTGCAACTGGCGGAAGTGGTGGAAAAACCGAAGCCACTGGAGCCGGTGAAACCTCGTGGTGGTTTGTCGTATCCATTCAGCAGAGCGTGGGCAGATGTGGTGGATGATGATGACCAGGCGGAGGCTTTGGTCTCGTATGCCGCTTCCTCAAGCGATTCAAGCGAGGAGGAGACCAATGCGGTACAACGCCTGAAGGAACTCTTTTTGCAAGAAAGGGATTCGTGGAGAACTGCGAGTCGTGGCAATGTTCCACAAAGTGGTTCTTCAGGCTCCAATGCTGGGCCGAAAAAATCGGTTCACCTTGGCGAAGGGCGCGACAAAGCGTCGCGGGGGGAGACCCGCCAAGAAGTGACTTCTCAAGTTTTTTCGCTACCACAACCTTCTCGTCGAGCTGAACGGTCTCAAAAAAGAACAAGGGATGGTTCAGTTATGGTTGGTTCGCTGGCGGTGGGCTCCACGGATGAGGTTTTACCTGGGCAAGGTGCTGCTGGACAGGTGAATGTCTCTGAAAGCGCTCAAGTTCTTCCTGGGCATGAAGTGGCTGGACAGGAGACGGCGCCGGAAGGAGCAGTACAGATTTCTGGCGAGGAGACCGACCAAAAAGAAGGAGAAGGCGGGAGCAATGATCTCCGTGGTAATGATGCGAAGATGTTGGATGGTGGTCCGGTGAGGAGTGACCTTCAGCAATTGCTGGTGAAAGGCCTTCTGACTCGAATTTATTGGAAGGTTGCAGTTGGCAAGTTGCCAATGGGGCAAAGAGATTGCCAAAAAGGGTCCAATAAGATGGATCGAAATTTGGTTATTAGCATGTCATCCGAGGGTGCAAGCGAACAGGATGAGAACCTGGCACTGGAGGACGATGCTGATCAGTCAATGGGAGACGGTGCAATGGTTATGGTGTATGATCCAGGAACGCTGATCCAGTCGCCAACAACTGATTGGGTTATGCGTCGCGGTCTGACCGATCGTACCGTCTGGCCAGCAATGGCGCACCTGGCACAGAGGATATGTGCTGAAATGGTTCAAGTGGATGAAATGAATGCCCAGCTAGGGACTGGAACACTCCTTTTTCAAAGGAGAGATCAAGGACATTATACTGACCTGCATCATTCGTTCCATGACAACCCGTGCTTGCCGGCGGTGGGGAATTACCCTCTTTCGGTGATGGGTACCTTGTTGTCTCCTGGTCTGGAAGGGGAATTCAAGAATACGGACAAGTTTGGTACTGCTATGGAGGCAATTGCCTATGATTGGAGCCGCAGTCCAGGCATGGAAGTTCATATTGAACTTATGGCGAGGGTAGCCAAAATGGTTCACCCATTCCTGAATCTGGGAGCACAAGGGTCGGTGATGGTTTCAGAATTTCTCTGGCAGCGCGGGAGGGCTCGGTTGATGGAGTTTCTTCAAGCGGCGACTTGTGCGGACCAATTGGAGGCTCTCTGGAGAAGGATGGACGACGATGCGGATGAGGAGGTGGATCCTTCGACAGCGATGCTGGAAGTTCTTGGACTAGAGGATGCGGTGCTTGATCAAGGGAACAATGAATCCCTTATTCCCATTGAAGATGCTGGAGGTGAGACAAGCGGTGACACTGGAGGGAAGGGCAAAGCGCCAGAAGTTTCTCCGGAAGAGGAGAAATCCAGTGGGTCATCCAGACTGGCGGACACAAGGATTTTCTTGTGGTCAGTGTACTCCCGCGTGGCTTCGAATTTCTCTATGCAGGACCGCACTACTGGTAAGATCTTTGACAGCACCAAAGGATATCCTGGTGAAGGACCAAACAATGATGACAATCCTTCCTCTAAGGGGAACTTTCCCTGGATTTCAGAAGACTACCTTGACGAAGTGGTGTCAAAAAAGATGGAAAGGTCTTCAGAGATGGATGGGTTTGTTCCGGGAAGTGAGGGATCATTGGAAAAGGTAGAGGTGGAGAATGTCACTGCCTCTAAAATTCTTATGGCTCTTTGGAAGAAGGGACATAGAGTTGGGTTTAGAAGGTTGCGTCGTTTGAATGCATCTGGATGCAAGGTTGGAGCAATGAAACGTCCAATCAAAAGGGTGCAGAAGATTGGCGCTAGGAAGGCCTTCATGAAGATGTTCAATGTTTTTGGATCGTCTCAGCATGGCTCAGGAGTTGGCGGAAAACCGATCATGAAGGTGGTAGGACCAAGGCCAGGTTTTCCAGCTGTACTCCAAGCACCAAATACTGATAGCACGTCGGGTGAAGGGAGCAGTCCCCAGGTACATGGCAATGTTCATGTAGAGCACAGTCGCCCTATGGACCGGTATGAGGCAGAGCGCTTGGAGAAGAGGAAGAAGGGTTTCTGCTATTGGTTTGGCAAAGGGAAAGATCGCTGCAAATTTGGTGACGACTGCAAATTCATCCATTCCGAAGATGATGTGGTGCTACATTCATATTGGTGCAAGTACTATGTGGCAGGGAGAGAATGTTTCGCTGGAAAGGATTGTGGGTTCTCGCATGATGCAACTGGTGTGAGGTGCGTCCAGTTTGCTCGGTCTGGGAAGTGTCGATTTGGTGACAGGTGTGTCTTCGAGCATGGTGTTCCGTTGGAAAAACAGAGGCCAAGGTCTCCAAGGACGCCCCCAAGGGATGGTCCAAGGAGAAAGTCTGGTGCAAATGGTGGAGAAAAGGAGATCCCTCCTGAACAGTTCGATGATGATGAGGAGGATTTTATGGTTTATGACGAAGAGACCAAGATGACGGAACTGTTGATGGAGGCGATTTCATTTCTCTCCGGTGGCAAGCCAGATTTGGCTCGAGCAGAGGCGGACCCATTGTTCAAACTCCTGAAGTTCACTGGAGATGCTGACCAAATGGATCAAGTATGGGTTTCGTGGACCACTGAAATGTTGTCAGTGCTGGAACTTCTCGAAGTAGTGAAGTCGTATGATGTTTCGCTCGCGGAGGTGGAAGAATGGGTCAATGACCTGAGGATATGGTATGAGCGAGCCAATTTGGGAGAAGAAAAGGATCCCAAAAAAGGGAAAAAGAGGTCCCTAGAAGGGGAGTCCAGCAAAGATATTCCTGCCGAAAAAGAAGTGGTTGAGACTTCGGAGACGGAGGTTGCCGTTGAGGAGGAGAAGAAAAAGGTAAAAAAGAAGAGGAAAGCTGCAGCTATCGAAGATCCTTACACTCTCATGGTTCCAAAGCCGAAGAAGATGCCGACGATCATTGAGAAGGGTGGATCAACATCCAATGTGGTGGCTTCTGCAGTGGAAAAATCCTCGAAGACGCGCACAAAGTCAAATGTCGGTGGAAAGACAAAGAAGAAGGAGAAAAGTCAGAGTCCCAAAAAAGAAGAGGTGGTAATGGTGCAAGATCCTGAGGAAAAGGATCGTCCATCCGATGCGGAGGCACCAGGGTCTGCCAATGCGAATGAAGAGCTGGGTCAATCTTGCCAGGCGATTGAGGACGCAAAGAGAGAAGGATTGGTATCCTCAATTCAAAGGGGCATACAGGATCCTATTCTTACGATTTCGGACCTGGAGTATATTCTGCTGCAACTTCACCTCAAGATTGCCAACAATCGGAAAAAGAAGTGATTGGATGGTATGGATGAAGGGATGGTTTTTCTCTTTCTGGAGACCGGTGCGCTGGAACAGCCAATGTGCTGACAATGTGGTGGTTACTATTAAGGGTATGGAAATCCCTGATAGTAGGAGTCAGTAGCTTTTCGCGTAGCGAAGACCACGGTTTGTGGTGAAGAAGGCCAAGGAGTCTTCAGTGATGAGAGGATCAAGGTGAAAAAAGATTCTCTATGGGTAGTAGGTTAGCCAATGTGCTATAATTCCGTCCTGGAAGACGTTAAACCACAATTTGCATTTCAAGCAGCTGGCTGCTGCCGTAATGGCAGTTTTTGGCCAAAAGATCTGCATCTCCAATGTGTCCTAGGAAATCCTAGGACAGGGGGAGTGCGGAGCTGCAATTGGTATTGTAGAAAGGAGTTAGTGTTGGAAGTTGGAAGGGTTAATGAACCCGGTAATCGTATTTGGCTCAAGATGGGCTTGAACAGAAAGCCACAAGTTCAAAAAGTAGTGCCTGGGTTCTTAGGGTTTGGTAAGGGTGTGGATTCCTTCCCCCTTTCCTTCCCCCCTGGGTTGCTCTTATCCGTGTTCTTGGTTGTTTCTTGGTTCGATCTGGGAAATATAAGTTCAGGGCGATTAGGGGAGTTGATTTCCTTCCTTGGTTGTCCCCCCGTACCCTAAACCCTCAGAAGCAGGCACAGTGCCAGCGCCTCGTCATATCCCTGGCGCTGATCAAGCACCGGGCAGCCAGGGGCAGGGGGCTTAAATGGACATGCGAAGGTTCGACCCCTGTACATGGGTTTCCTGGGTTTATGCAGGTTTTGGCATGAGGGTTTAGGGTTTAAGGGCTCCTAGTATGGAATGTGGGAGTTTGGCACCTTATAGCCCCCCTAGATGTACCCTTACAGGGCAAAAATCAGTGGGGGGATACGTGGGGTGCCTACTTCCCTCATTCCCTACGACTTGGTAGCCAGGTGGTACCCTTTTCCTTTTTCTTGGTCCAAGGTTCTCTTATAAAGTCCAGCCCCAACAAGGGTGCTCATATTCTAATGTGGACTAAGAACCCGTAGCTTTCGAGTTTCGGTATGGGGCCCTTCCGGGAAGTCCCCCCCCCCCCGTCCCCCGTATATCTCAAGACGGAAACCGTCTTAACCCCAGACTCTAGCCCAAACCCTAAACCCTAAACCCCTATGCCTTGAGAGGTTCCAGGATTTGGGTGTTTGGGGTTCCCTAAACCTTAAACCTTCACTGCCCCGAATTTAGAGATTCGGGCCGATCTCAATTCTGGCACCTTGCTACTAGCCGAAACTATATAGAAGGAGCATGCCATAGTGGAGGTGCATATCGTGTTATAGGGGGCAGGGTTTAATTGGTTTCTTGGGTACCCTATAAGGAAGAGGGGAAGATAGAAGACCTAACAAGGGCCCGGCATTAGGCACCCGCCCTTGCTGTAAGAAGATGAACTGTCGAAACTGAGCCAGAGTTTAGTAGTTGAACAGCGTTTGTAAATCTTAGAGTCGCTTAGTGTGTGTCATTAGGGTTTAAACATAACATGTATGTCTTAGAGTAGCTTAGGGTGTGTAGGGTCTTGATGGGACAAGCTTAAGCGTGCGCCTCGCGACAAAGTCCACACCCTAGTGGCATCTCTTGCAGCGCCCTGCAACGTTGGAGCAACCCTCGTACTCAGAGACTCCGAAACCCCTTAATTAAGGAATATACCTCAACAGTTTTAATCGGAACCCTATGATGATTTAGGTTCTATTCCTTACTTAAGGGGTTTTGGAGTCTCTGGGTAATGACCCGGCTATTGCAGATCGTGCTGTCACAGCCGCCACAGCCCCGCCCCGCGCAGGCTTGCACCACGCGCACGCATTGCATGTGCACAACGAGCCCCCATGAACAAGAAAACAGGAAGCGTCAATGGACAATATGGGATCCCCCGAACTGGTCTGCGGGCCGGGCGGGGGTCATCAGTGGTTAAATCCGATCAGTTCACACACGTCCTCGACCTGTGCTACCTGCACAGACAGATATCCCAAATTCCCAAAGCCCAGAAAGCTCCCGCTCCCACGTCCCCCCACTCCCCACCGCCACACCCTCCACACCCCCCCCCCCCCCCAAAAAAAAAAAAAAAACAAACGATAAAGAAATCAAGAAAAAGCCCGCGATGAAAATCAATAAACCTGCGAAATCTCCAACCACCTCTAAACCCTGAACCCTGAACCCTAAGCCCCAAGCCCTGAACCCTAAACCCTCTCCGCCCTCTGAGGGGGCCACAGTGAGATGGAGATCGACGCTCGCCGCTGCCTCAAAAGCATGCTGAGGGTGGGGTTTAGGGAGTTTAGGGTTCAGGGGGCTTAGGGTTTAGGGTTCAGGGTTCAGGGTTTAGGGGTTTAGGGTTCAGGGTTTAGGGTTTAGGATTTAGGGGTAATGGTGCCATACGTGCGTGATATCTTCTCGCAAGTCCACACCTTAGATCCTCGACCTGAGCTTCCCAACTCTCGTCAGAGACTGCATGTTTCTTCAGGTGCCTTCGTTCCCTGTGGAACAAGTCGGGCTTAGGGTTTAGGGTTTGGGGTTTAGGGTTTAGGGTTTAGGGTTTAGGGTTTAGGGTTTAGGGTTTTGGGGAATGTGTGCTACATCGGACCTTGAAGGGCTTATCGGGTGAAGGGTTTCGGGTGTGCAGAAGATGCCCTGTTAGCACCCTCCATCCCTTGGCCTTCAGCCTTGAGCCTCAAACCCCAGACCCTCCCGGCAGCCGGAAACCCTGAACCTTAAACCCTAAACCCTAAACCCGAAACCCGAAACCCGAAACCCTAAACCCTAAACCCTAAACCCTAAACCCTAAACTCTAAACCCTAAACCCTAAACCCTTTCCAGCTTTGCAGGGCTGGAGGCCGACCTCGCCGGCGTCTCCAGCGCGTACGCGCCAGGGCGCCAGAGGAAAACCTTGGGGACCACATGAAGCCTGAAATTGGGGTTTAGGGTTTAGGGTTTAGGGTTTAGGGTTTAGGGTTTAGGGTTTAGGGTTGAGGCTCCAAAAGTTTAGGTTTTTAGGGTTTAGGGTCATGTACACTATATGCTGCTACAATCCCCTAGAAATGTACGGACCTGAAATACCCCAGTACTTGGAGAATCCCGAATCCTGCAGAACGTGTATGGGGCTTGAAATACCCTGTAGGGTTCATATGGTCCCTAAGGAATGAACCGGCCGGCTTAAAGTGACCTAAGCACTGTTCGGGCTGGGTCTGTTCTTGATGGTTCAGTAGTCTGGCGTGCATGTTTGAAACATGTTTCGGGCAAGGACTTGCATTTGTTCTCCCTGGTTCTTAGTAGGGATTGAGGGAATTAGGGCCCCCGTATATACCTTTGAGGGATTACATAGGGTACCTCATTCCCTCATTCCCTACTAAGAACCAGCCAGTTTTTTGTTTATAACCCTAAGCCCTAAACGCTAAACCCTAAACCCTAAAGCCCTAAACCCTAAACCCTTAAACCCGGGCGTGCTGTACTTGTTTGTGAAGCGACCGGGTTGGAAAGCACGAGCCTGTAGTGGACGAGGTGGTGGATGTGTAGAGGTTGAGAGCTTCAGGCGGTTTAGGGTTTAGGGCTAGGGTTTAGGGTTTAGGGCTTAGGGTTTAGGGCTTAGGGTTTAGGGTTTAGGGCTTAGGGCTTAGGGTCTATTGGGTTTTCGAACCCATTCCCCCTCCCGAAAGCCGACTGCGGGTCGAAAGTCCTGGGTCGAACTCCTGTTCATGCAGCATCATGCAGCCCTAATCCCTAAAAAACCCTAAACCCTAAACCCCAAACCTAAACCCTAAACCTGTCAGTCAAGCCTCCGCCAACTGCGCTGGCGATTGGCACAAGCTCAAGAGAGTGTTACTAGGCTTGGTAGCCGAGTGGCACCCTTTCCTCGCTTTTTGGTTCAAGCTTTGCCTATAAAGTAACCAACCCCAAAAAGGGTGCCCTTATTGTGCTATGGTCACTGGGCTACCAAGTAGGTAAACCTAGAAACTCTGGACAGTGTGACTAGATAAAGCCTATAAACCTTAATAAGCCTTTCCTAGGATCCTACCCCAATCAAAGTTAACTCCGATTAAGCCTTAATAAACCTTACCTAGGATCCTACAACCCCCAATCAAAGGTAACTCCTGCAACACCTTGATAAACCTTACCTGGGATCCTATAACCCCAATCCTAGGTAACTCCTATAAGCCTATAAGCCTTAATACAACTGACCTAGGATCCTAGAACCCCTAACCCCTAAAACCCTAAGACCCTAAAACCCGAAAACCCTAAAACCCGGAACCCGAAACCCTAAACCCTAAACCCTAAACCCTAAACCCCTTCGGAGGGCATGCAGGTTGCTCTGCGGCAAGGACTCTCGGGCTTTTAGGGCCATGGCCCTCAGCCGCCTCACGCAGTGGCGTTGCTGGTGTGCGCGGCTGCCCAGCTTACGGGGCTTATGGAATTCAGGGTTTAGGGTTTAGGGTTTAGGGTTTAGGGCGATAGGGCTGCCCAGTATACAGGGCTTATGGAATTCAGGGTTTGGGGTTTAGGGTTTAGGGTTTTTAGGGTTGATTGGGTTTATAGGCTTGATTGGGTTTATAGGGTTAGAGGGTTGATCGGGATTTCTGGGACTTATGGGGACGGTGCAGAAACTCGAAGGTTTGGCTTATGAGGCTTATTGGGGGTGTAACTTTGGGGGGTTTAGGGTTTAGGGTTCAGGGTTCAGGGTTCAAGCTCGTAGCTGTTAAGCTCGGAACCCTAAGCCTGAGACCCCCCACTAGCTTGGGGTTTATAGGATTTAGTGTGGTAGTGTGTCGTGGACTTTCTTGGCTTCAAACCCTAGGACGCGCTGTTGTTTGCGTCAAGTGGAGAGTGCCCTATGGGGTTTTGGGAAGGGGCTGCATGGCCTTCGCAAGATGGGGCTTGGGGTTTAGGGTTTAGGGTTTAGGGTTTAGGGCCGGGTTTCGGGTTCAGGGATTCAGGACCATGTGCACCGGGAAAGCCCTACACGTGATGCTTGACATCAAACCCGGTCCAATTACTAGAGGGGTCGGAATATGTTATTTCCCGTATTGTCCCTTCACAAATATGCTATAATCCCTCCCCCCCCTCCCCAACAAAAAAACAAACTATTCTAATTATTTAGGCCCCTAGATTATACGCCCAGCCCTCAATCGTGCCTAAGACTCTTTCTACAGCCTGTCATGTCACACCCAGGGAATTCCTGTCACCTCGCGAACGTAATTTCACGAACACGGCTGAACAAGGACACCGGCATATGGAGGTTATCCCGCTGTATAATCACTTGGTTTACAGGGTGTTAGATGAGCCTGACAAGGTTCTGGTGCCGTTCCAAGTCTTAGAGCCTTTCATGAGCTCAATGAACCCTAAACCCGAAACCCTAGACCCAAACCCTAGACCTGCCACTATCAAGACTTTAGGGTTTAGCAATTTAGGGTTTAGGGGTTCAGGGCCACTCTCTACCCTGAACCCTGACACCTAAACCTATGATTGCCTTAACACGTACAAACCTCAGAAATAGTCTTACACACAGAGGCCCGAAGCCCTGAACCCTGTAAACTCAGGTCTTCTGGCCTTCGTTGGACCTGGTGACCTTGTTGGTCGCCACCCTGCTGGCCCAGGGTCAGGACAGGGGCCCCAGCAAGCGCCATCCGAAAACTCAAAATAGCAGACGCTCAGCCCTCAACTACACACCAGAGTTTAGGGTTTAGGGTTTAGGGTTTATAATTTGCAGTGTTTAGGGTTTCGAGTTTCGGGTACCCCCCAAGAGCCCCCCCGAAGCACACAATTTGTACAGCGAGGCCAATGTCCTCGGCTGGTCACTTCATGCGCCAGCCATCTCCACCGCGCCCTGGAAGGAAAGAGAGACCGGTTTAGGGTTTAGGGTTTAGGGTGTAGTTGGCTAGGATACTCCGGCTGGCCAGACTAAGCGACAGCGAGTGCAAGGCGAATGCCTTTTCCCCGTGCATTCGCACACTGCTATCGAAGTTGGCTACGCGGACCCCTTTGATCCATTGGATCGTGGAATGGATGTTGATCAAGCCCCACAAACGAATCACACCGGTCCTAACTTCTTTTGATCAACATTGTCATTCCACAGCCCATTGCACACGAAATGGCATTCATTGCCTGCGTGTTTGTGCAACTCTGTGAAACCTTGTTCATTGAGCGTCCATTGTCCCTTGGTCATGACAAATCTGAGGTAACTGCCACCGACATTCTTTGTCAGCGAATCGGAAATCATATTTCGACCATCGATCCATCGAATCGTTCCGACACCTTCGAGATCTCTTTTCAGGATCGAGACATCGATCGCGGTCCTTTTATCTTCGACTTGACTGTGAGGACATGTTTGTCTTGACAGAGTGTCGTACAATGACTTAGAATCCGTAACCGCAAGAAAGGACATTCTATCGAGTCGTTTCTCCCAATCCCGGTCCTGCTGTTGGTCGTTCTGGGCCTCCACGAGCAGGAAGCGGTGCCAGTGCACATTGCCGATGCCGGACACGAGGGCCTGGCATTCTGCTGCCAGGGTATTGACCACCTTCCTTTTAAGCCGGTAGCTTTTCCAACTGGCCACTGTCACCTGAGACCAGGGCTCGTACTGCAGGTTGGCATCGTGGTAGATGATGATGTGTCCTCCCTGGCTGCTGGTCCTGGCATTCTGCAAGAAGTGCTCCTGGATGCCCTCGGCCTTGATGCCTTGGTTGTCCTTGTAGAAGACCGTTTTTCCGGTCCATGAGGCCTGATCCTTGGACCTCAGTTTCGTGGACTTGGGCCATTGGTCCCGGTACTGCTTCATTTCTCCGTCTTCATTGAAGTAGGTCTCCCGATCTGGTCGTAGGCGATGAAGGTCTGGTCCGCCAGGTGTCATTCCTGGGTGGAACAGTGTTCGTCTGGGACTCTTGTGGAACCGGATCCATTGTGTTTCTGTTTCCACCCAGTAGTCTCCTCGATTCTGCTCCACTGGGTTCTCCTCCATGGCATTGCCCCATGACGCGTCGGTCACCGTGCTGACTCGGAGCCGCTCAATCGGTATCGGTGCTACTCGGATGCCGGCCGGGAAACGAAGAGCTTCTTGGGCCAGTGTATTGGCCTGAACAATGTCCTTGACCCTGGGCTTCGGGAAGCATTGTTGTAACAGGGCCACTCTCCCACAGATATCTGGTCTCGTTTCTTTTGCCAGCCATGCCATGGCTCCAATCAGGGAGCGAAGCCGAGCCACCTCGTCTTCGGTACAGTAACTGTATCGTTGGGCCTTCCGGGCTTTGTCCAGTGGTATCGTCTCGATCTTCTCCTGGAGGTAGTGGTCCTGGTCCACATAGATACTTCCATCTGGCATGGTCTTGAAGTTCTTGCCGGTGAATCTGCCTTCGCCATACTGGAACTTTCCCAGTTTGTACTTTTTGTTCAGGTACTCCATCTTCTTCATGTGTTGTTCAGTTCCTCCATGAAGCAGATCGTCCGTTGCCACGGCAATGACTCCTTCTAGGCTGTCCCATCCTCTGGCCTGATCGTTGTGTAGGTAGTAGACGCACGGATCGATCACACTCTGGGTGTATCCGAGCTCTTTGGTCAAGACCTTCCGAAGATGTTTAAACCACGCCATCGGGCCATCAACTAAGCCATAGCACGTTTTTCGAAGGCGAAGAAGCTGTCCTTTCTGAAGTCCGGGTATACCTTCTGGGGGTTGTTCGGCGTAGAGTTCTCTTTCGATCGGGTCACCTGAGTGAAAAGCTTGAGTGAAGTCGAGGAAACCAAGCCGGTAACCCTTGCTGGCAATGATCTGGGTGATGGCCATGACACCATCCCGTGTTGCCTGTGGCGTGGCCGCGTCAAACTCCTCTGCCCCATTCTCCGAGAAGCCTTTCATGACATGGCGAGCCTTGGCCTTGCAT